GGCACCGACCAAATTCCATAGTACCGACTGAGTACTGATTCATGTCATATCAAACGGTGCCTTGTTTCGGTACTTGTGCCATGCGCAAGAGCGTAACGTCGTCAGTCACTGTGGGCGAGCTGTAAACAAAGAGAGGAAGTGTTCTGAAGTTTGGGCCCACTTCACTAAATGCGATGGGCTATTGGGTGATGATGAAACCAGCGATAAAGATCTGAATATGAGGCATCTTAATCTGATCCAGCAGCTAAATAAACTGTTTAAGATAACGTTAGCTTGACAGTTTAGTTTTTGTTTTACATAGCTAATGGTGCGTTCACTTTCTCCTCAGAAATTCCAACTTCCGAGTAGGAAAAATAAACAGTTTGAAAATGAACAGCAAAAGGAACAAAGATACACAGTAAATTTAGTTCACAGCAAAGATGTTTGCTTCAGTGGGTCCTTGTAGTTTATAAAACTACAAGGACCCACCATCACACAGTTTGTCCAGATGAGAAAGGAGAGGAAAAGGAGTACATGGAGCTGGGTTTAGTTTGTGGAACACCACAATATTATAATACATACAGTTGTACGGTATCGACATTTGCTTTAGTTTGATTTGTAGTTTATAATATATGGTCTCCTCATCAGAGTTATTCCAGGGGCATAGAAGAGGATTAGGAGTACATGGAGCTGAGTTTGTTTTTGGATAATTTAGAAACAGTTGTTGTTAAACATCTTTGGTGTGTTCTTACTGTGTTTAGTTTCTAATTCCATGTTTGGTACTTTTTAAGGAGGAGTTGTTGTTAAAGGTTTTCATAATGATGAATTTTATACAATACTACGATGAAAAAAATGCAAACAGTTGTATCATGATATTGATCAAATGTGGTTATATATTGGAAAAATAACATATATGTAATTAAAAAAGTGAGTTAAATAATTATTACACTCAAAAGTATCAAAAATTGGTACCGTTAAGTACCGTTATCGATTCGTAGGTACCGGGAATTGGCACAGTATCGATTCAAATGTCAAAGGTACCCATCCCTATTCATCAAATGGAAATCAGTCAACAGGGCAGTCCACCATACAGGAAGCCATAAGAAATACATCCTTTTTTAAAATAGATATCTTCAGTACCTCTATCTGCTCAAAGAAAAGCTCAAGACTAAATCGTCCTAAGCCTATGCCATCTTTGTAGTTTTTCTTTGTTACAGCACTGGTGCTGAGCCCACTCAACGTCTCTCTATAAACATAAAGCGCTGAAAGGCTGGACCTTAACTTGTTCGGGCCAAGAGTAGACCTGCTGAATGGAGTGTGGCCAGACTAACCTTTTGCTACCACTACAGTTCATCCAGAATTCCTCATTCTCAAACTCATTTTTAACAAACTATTCACTTAAAGGCACACTAGGCAGTTTTGCTTGCTTTATCAGCCCCCAGTGTCCGTTTTTAATTATCTGTGGTAAAAGCAAAAGTGAAACCTATCTCCTCGTTATGCATTTGTCTTTTTAACACCTTAACCTAACTGCTGAAATGTCTCCTTGGCCTTCATTAGTGTCTACAGGAGTGATTCATCACTAAATGAAACAAATCAGCTGTGTTCATGGTGTAAAACATACAGGAAAAGTGCTGCAGGCAGACTGCAGTGCCAGGTTTGTAAGCTCAATTTTTTCTAAGTGTAAAAGGTGTCAGCCCGGCACTCTGAAGTTGCAAATGCAGTATTGTGGCCACAGAGGGCAGTGTGACATTTCTTTAACCTTGTAAAGGGTAATTTTAAACATACTGGCTCAATAAATTGATTTTAAAATGTGAATAATTTGCATAGTATCCTTTTAACCCCTTTTCAAGGGGTTTCGTTTGAGTGTTTGCCGCCTTCTCAATTTAACCGTTCTACCTGATATATCTCAGTTGGTTGAATCCTCTGATAATTACCTTTTTATCCTGGAATATTTACAAATACATAACTCTGAACTAGGGTTGTCACTGTGTGATAATTTAACCTCACAGTTATTGTGACCAAAATTACCACGGTTTTCGGTATTATCGCTGTATTTTTTTTAAACGTGCTACATTTTCACACAATTAAATAAACCCTGTATGTCAGGAAATATTGTCCTCAGTTTGTGTCAAATTTTTGCCTAAAATGTGTTATTTTGTAATTATGTTGTTTATTTGTTTACATTTTTTCCCTTTAGTCTTTAAAATACCAATATTTGCCCATAACTTCTTATTTTTTGTCTGTTTGATGTCATCATTTAAAAAGTATTAGATCAGATGATACTCTGTACTCAAGTAGCCTTCTAATCAGATACTTTTTTACCCTTACTTGAGTAATAAACCCTATATCAGGAAAATATCTTCCTCGGTTTGTGTCCTTCCAGTGAGCTTTGCAGATTTGGGAAAATGTCATCAGGCAGTAATCATTGTTAAATTCATAATTATTCTCGGAGAGAGACCAACTCTTATCTGCCCCTGGGAGCCCCGTAATGCATAGCGTCATTTCTATATGGGGGGTGTCCGCGACACGGTTATATGCAGGTAGCGGCGCTGCGGCTGCTTTATATAGCGACTCAACCCTCAACCCAAATCCTCAGATCACGCATTTTAGCTAAAACGCTAACGTTAGCCTGCCTTGCGTTGACTGTAGAGTTGTGGGTGATGGTCACGCAGATGTGTCATGAGATTTGAAGCGTTGCTGCCTTTCACAGACACGTTTTCTGCATGTGCTGCAAACAGGATAGCCGTCTTCTATCAACTGTCCCTCGGCATTCTTCAAATATCCAAAATATGCCCGTACTTCCCACTTTGTCTTCTTTGAGGGATAAAAAATGTCCTGAGCACTGCCGTCTCCTCCTATGGTCATTATTTCAGCTTTAGCTTCAAGAAAGTTTTGGTTGTAAACAACAAAGTGCGCATGTGCCGCCGGCAACTTCAGCAGATGATACGGTGGCTGGTAAGGGTCACCGCGCCTACACCGCAGCCACGGTAATCCACAGAGATAATATAGTTTTTTAAAAAACAAGACAGTTATTATTATTGTCAACTTTTTTACCAGGGTTTACTGCTACACCGGTTACCATGACAACCCTACTCTGAACAAACGTCACATCTGTTTCCAATATAAAAAGACATCAGTAACAAGGGACCTTGGAATTTAAAATACATATAATGAATAAAACACTTGGGCTGCACAGTGGTTAGAGCTGTTGCCTTGCAGCAAGAAGGTCCTGGGTTCGCTTCCCAGCCTAGGATCTTTCTGCATGGAGTTTGCATGTTCTCCCTGTGCATGCGTGGGTTCTCTCCGGAGTACTCCGGCTTCCTCCCACAGTCCAAAAACATGACTTTTAGGTTAATTGGTCTGTCTAAATCAGGAGTGGGGAACCCTGGTCCTCAACGGCCGGTATCCTGCTCCAACACCTCTGATTCAGTGGTTGATTCACCTGCTCAGCATCTCATCAAGCCCTGCAGAAGCCTGTTAATCACCTGCTGATTGAAGTCAGGTGTGTTGAAGCAGGGCTGAAAATAAAATATGCTGGATGGTAGCCCTCGATGGACCAGGGTTCCCCACCCCTGGTCTAAATTGTCCTTAGGTGTGTGTGTGTGCATAATTGTTTGTCCTGTGTGTCTCTGTGTTGCCCTGTGATGGACTGGCTCTCTGTCTAGCATGTAGCCTGCCTGATTGCCCATTGACCACTGAAGTTGGGCCCCCCCACCCCCGACCCTACGTGGACAAGCGGGTTCAGGAAATAGATGGATGGATGGATGGATAAAACACTTCTCAAACTCATAAAAATGTCTGTGGTGTTTTACGTACTTGAGCGTGACTCACTGCGTAAAGAGTTTGCCAAACCCAAAATATTTGTCCGAGGTTAATATATCTGGATAACAATGTCTGATGAAACAGTCTCTGCAACAGCTTTTCAAAGGACTTTGTGCACTCGTAATAAACCAATGTCCCCTGCAATCACTTCGCTTCTCTAAAAATTATTAGGAAAAAGTGAGAGAGACAGTGACCTGATCTCTCTGCCACTTCCTGTTGCACACATCACATCCTGCTGATGTTGCAGTGCAGAGAGGCCACAGACACTTCCTGAGCCTAAAAACCACTCAGCTTCACTCATCTATCAGCCAGGAAGGAATTTAGTGAAAGTCATCTCAAACTATAGAAGATACCCCCACTCAACTCTGTGCAAAAATGTGCAAAGAGCAAGCTATAGTGGAAAGATAATTTTATGCAACAGATCTTCCAATTCTAATGCATCGGTATCACCTAGACCAGGAACATTAAACCCTTTCAAACCTTCAGACTGCTGTGTTAAGGTGTTTTATAAGCAGATGGAAACAAGACATTGAATGTTTCACTAATCTCAAACCTGAAGCTACAGATGCTTGGTTACGCAACTCCACAGCAAAGATTTAGGAGTCAAGAAAACACCCAGTTACATTGTAACTATACCTGCAGCAGGGTTAGCAGGGAAAGTGCTCTTGGTCTGATGCCAGAGCCTGAAGCTGATATTTCAAGTTAATCAGATACACACGAACACAGGTGACTGGGCGAAACATAACAGATGATGTGGAATGGCTCTTATCGGTCAAATCTTAAAATAATGCCCCAGATGTCATGTTTGTAATCATCAAATCAAAACACCAAACAGAAATTTCTAAGGAAGTTGGGTGTTGCTTTTCCAGCAACTAGTAGTAGCATCTGGCAACGGGCTTATCTGTAGACCTAGCTTGCAAGTGTCAGATAAGTTCACAGGCTAGCCCTGGATGCTAAAGTTAGCCACCATGTAGGTTCTTTGTGGAGCACTGGCACCTCTGGGTACCCCACCCAAAAGGGCACAATGAGACCATGTCAACACGACTAAACTCGCGGATACTCCAAACACCCTGGTTCTGTCCACCGTTAGCTCCCGCTAACAGGTTTGGGGCTCACCCAAATGAATGTCCTGAAACGTTATATCATGTCATGTGTGGGCTATGGTGGAACATATGCGCAGCGCGAAACTTAATACTTACAGGATGCCAGAGCAGGAGGTGCACACGAAAGAGCCCACGGTCATGTTGGCATAGGTTGGGCCGCGCTGGTCGCAGTCAAAGCACTTTCTGTTGGGGGGCAAACTCGTCATTTCCCTCAGCATCTTCAGGTGTTTCTCCTCTTGTTTTCGTTTGGCACTCGCCGCCATGATAAAGGATATACAGCACCGATAAATAAAATCGGGGGAGGTTTAAATGTCAGCTACAACTGAAACAAAGGGCTGTGCTGTTTAACGGTTGCCGACTCGTGCTAACGGCAGCCAGGGGGTGGTTAAAGTGGCTCCGTTGTCAGGGCGGGCGGCCTCACGTCTCCTAGAAAAAGAGGCTCACGCACTCAAGAGGGGAACAAGATACTTCCTGCTATCGACTTCCGCTTTCCCTAAAACCCTGTTATTAGGCAGACTACGCTGCACATAGAATAGAATATACATAAATACGTACGATACCTGAACGTTCTGGGCGGAATGTAGCAAAATTTGGTCTAGCAGTTGGAAGTCAAATGTAATAATCAAACTATTAGGTCGCGACTGGCAAAATGTCTGAACAATAACTGTTATATGAAATATTCGAGTTCGGTATATTTCAAAATTATTCCAGGTAATGAAGTATAATCTCTAGCCAGAACAAAAACATTTTGTCAGAAATGTCCTGGTTTTATTACATTCGAAAGTTGGGGAAACGAACTATCTTGTCATTTTTATGTAATCTTTGGCAATGCTCATGACAGTGAAAACGACCGCTCACCAGCGCCATCATGAGGCTCTTCATAGCCACTGCAACACAAAACCAAGTCTCAACGTTTGTTGTGAAACTAAAATATTACATAGATTTTAAATATATATGTATTTTTTTTCAAGGTAAGCTCTAAAGGCTTAGTGAAAAATATACTTGATCAAGGATGCTTGGATTTCTCATTGAATGCTGATGTAAATATTAAAAACATTACAATTTTCACAAATTTGTAAATAAAATTTATTACATACAAATTACACAACATAATACAAATTTTGCTAAACACCAGATGTATTATTTACAAATAGATGGTGAGATGGCAGGGGTAGATGGTAAAAATGAATCAGCTGGTTTTATGCAGGTACGACAGTGAAACTAGTCGATTTTATACTAATAATAGCTCAAACATGGGCCGTCTGTTTAATACAGTAGAAAGCATGATCTTACAGCATTATTGCAGCTCTCATTTTAAAACTCATCAGCATCAACACTGACAAGCACAATACATTTCTGCCTACCTATATCCCCTTTATTTTTTGCTGGAGTATAATTATTACTTTACTAAGTACTGCTGGCAGACTGAAGTTTGCATTGCTCGTGCTGCTGTTGTGGAGAAAAGTCGATGGGTCTGCGGTTCTCAGTGTAGCCGTAAAGTTTTCGAAGGGCAACGCGTGCTGCTTCTTCCTCAGCTCCAGCCAGTGTCTCTCCTGGACCATTAGCCAGGAGCTTCTGGTCACTTATCAGAGGTGAACAGACAAAAACAGGTATATTTATATGATGCAGAGGACAAAAAACAGCTGCATAGTAACACACATACCTGTAAAGCCCAACAAAGTAGAGTGGTAGGACAGTGCTGGCACCAGCAGCCCTGATGAGACGAGGCTCTGGAAGAGGAACATTCCTCTTTGTCAGCTCCTCCACCAGCAGGCCCATAGGGTTGACCACAGTCCACATGTCAAACAGGTCCTTCCCTATCAGCTGAGTCAACAGGAAGTCCTAAGAAGTGGCAGAATATCATGACACGCTGAACACGAATCCAACCGTGCAGTTTTAGGATGAGCACATATTTAGAAATAAACATCAAGTGTTACTCTGTGTTCATCTTACTCTGAGAAAAAATCTAGCTCGTTCTGCTCCACTGCTCTCCTGCAGAGCTCCAATCACCGCCATGAATGTAGAATAGAGCACATCATCTGGAACAGGGAACTCTGCGCTCATGGTAAGGTCCTCAAGGCCAAGATTTCTTGCAACATATGTCACAACCTCTGGGCTGGCAAGATGTCCCACAACACTCTCCACACCTTCATCTGGCAGACTAGGGAAATTTGCTCTGCACCAGTCGCTAATGAAGCTCTTAGTAAAACCCTCTCCAGATTTACTCAGCTGGTTGTTATCCTTGAGAACCAGAGCTGTAGCTTCTGAATCCACACCTAATCCCTTTCTCCTGTCCTGCTCTGCCTGCAGGTAACAGGGATTAACGAAGGCTGTTTTAAGTAGCTCCAGGGAGAAGTTTTCATTGAGGCGAGTGCTGAAAGCTTGAACTTCAGCGTGGTAATCCCAGTTAGGATGCTGTGACCTGAAAGAAAGTGAGATATGGAGCAAATTCTTAGACAAAAAAATAGTACAAAATGTGTCATAAATTCTAGGAGAATAAACACTCGTTATATTTGTAAATAAATACTGGGTGGGCAGTTTATATGGACCACCCTGTATGCACCTTAATAAAATGGACCGGTGTGCGGTGTGCTGCTAAGAGCAAGCCAGACTAAATATCCATCCCCTTAGAAACAACCACCAATTAAGAGCAGTGAAGCTATTTTTATTAGCATGTGAACCAAATACAGAATGTGAACATGGTTCTAATCTGTTTCTCTTGAAAGTTTTGATTTTGACTGGAAATATGATGGAACAATGATTAAATAATTGACGTTATCAGGATTTTGGGCCTCTATAATACATAGCCACTATCTTGTGGCAAGTCCTTTTTTAAAATGTTTTCAGGAATTTTCCATTGCTGCTATTAAATCTCGTTAGCTTATTTTGTTTTATTTCTTCTTGATGCTCAACATATTTATTTTCTGCTTTGAACTCAGTAAACAAAGCTGGTTAAACCTCCTTTGTGTAGCCTAAATTGACAGAAATGTGACATGTTTGGCCTTGAGGTGCTCTCTGGTAAACTTTAGCATTAGCTGCTAACGTTACCGTGGCTTCGGTGGAGGAGGTCCTTCCAGCTTTAGCTTCTTGGCCATGATGTACGTGTACGCTCTCATCCATCGTTTCTTCCCTCTAATCTGAAACAGTGAAACACTTCCACAGACGAGCTGGCGGTGTATTCCAGATGTTAGGACACCACGACTGAACAAGTACATAGCCGACATGTTTCCAACAGGAGCAGTGTGCAACATCTTAAAGAGTCCGATGCGAAACTAAATCCGGTCGACCAATCGTTACTATGGAAACAAACCAAGCGGTTAACGACAACAAACAGGCGGACTAACTGCTAATATTAGACAACGAAAACTAATCATTTCAATATATAAGCAAGACATATTATTTTTCCATCCTTTGGGATACTTTCATAGTTTTTTTTTTTTTTTTGAAGAAGGCTAGCCCAACAAACGATGGCAGCTCATTCTGAAGGTGGAGATATTTCAAAATCATCCGGCATTCATGCACCAGGAGGTATTTTAGAGGCTGGAGCTGAATTAAAACGGGAAGCCAGACAACTGAAGCAAAGCTCACTGCAAGAAGAAACATATTCGATGCCACGAATTACTAGGAAGCTCCTTAAAGAGCTCTGTAAGCAGCACAAGCTGTACTACACCCCTTCCCTTAATGACACGCTTTATCTGCACTCCAAGGGTTTCTCTGTCATTGAGAATCTAGAGGAATACACAGACCTGAAGTGCCTCTGGCTGGCAAACAACGTGTTGCAGCGCATTGAGAACCTGGATGCCCAAATTCATCTACGCTGCTTGTACCTTCAGCATAACCACATTCACAAGCTGGAAAACCTTGAACATCTAAGAGATCTTCACATCCTGAACGTATCCAACAACCACATCCACATTATAGAAAACATCTCTGGGCTTTCTGACCTCAGCACTCTGGACATTGCTCACAACAAGCTGGAGTCTGTGGAGGACATTGAGCATTTACGTCATTGTCTGGCCATCAGCGTTTTGGACCTGTCTCACAATCTGCTTCATGATCCCAAGATCCTCTCTGTGCTTGAGGCCATGCCGGACCTGCGAGTGCTGAACCTGATGGGAAACGAGGTGGTAAAGAAGACCCCAAACTACAGGAAGGCTGTGATCTTTCGCCTCAAGCAGCTCACTTTCCTCGATGATCGCCCTGTTTTCCCCAAAGAGCGGGCATGTGCAGAGGCGTGGGCGAGGGGGGGACTGGAAAAGGAGAAGGAGCAGTGGGAATTCCAGGTGAAGATGAAAGTCCAGAAGCGCTTGAAGGGAATGGAGATGATTCGCCAAAAGGCTCTGGAGAGACGCCGCCTTCGTGGTGAGCATTTGCACACATGAAGTACAAAACAAAATGTAGATTGTAACTTAAATAACCTTCTTTCAGAGGAAACAGAGGCCCCCACCTCTCCAGAGATGGTCCTCCTGGATGCACATGAAGAGCTCCTGGATAATCTATCAGAACAGGAGGATGAAGACAAAAACCAAAACGATGTAAAGAGAGGTGAAGTGTGCTCTGAAAACAGGAAGCCTTCTCCTAGGTCTCTTCTCACCAAAGAAGATGATCTTGGAACAGCACACGGTCCTGGACCACTGGTCACAGAGTTGGAGGATGAAGAGCAGCTGGAAACAATCCAACTCCTCACAAACCGGCCACTGCACATCGATGACCTGCCTGATTTAGAGAATGTGGAACTGGAGGGTTTTACTGAAAGCTCCTCTCAGCAGGTGTTCAAGCCAAAGATAGAAGTCATATCTGGAGGCAGTGATGATGATGAGGAGGAGTCAGCGCTGGACTGGAGCGAAGACCGCTCCCTCTCAGGTTCAAGTCAAAACTCAGCTTTCTAACCTACTGCTCTGCCTTTTCCTCCAGCCGAGGCCTGAGCTCCTCGGGGTGATGCCTGACTGAAGGACTGGATGAACGTGTTTGATTTGAGAACTTTTTAGTGAAGCTTCGATTAAAGTCTAACGTTATGTAAAAATTTACCAAAAGAACCAGAAAAGTAATGTTAAGATGTAGAATCTTTTGTTATGATGGAATTTTTCATCCATGTCAGTGGTTTTGGTTGTTTGTAACATTTTCTTGGGGAAAAAAAATGACAAAGTTTGGCTTTAAAAGTTTAATTGGGAAAAACAGCTAAATGTGAGTTTTATCTTTGTCAGTTTGCGTAAATAAAAACCCAGAACACATTACCAGTATGGCTACGATGTTTTAATACATTTCCCAATCCTAGCTACGCAGTATTCTCCCTGCAATGATAAACAGTATTTTACCTTAATAAACTTCCAAACTGTGGCTTGACTTTCCTTTTGTGCCTTCACCAACCTGCTATAATTTATATGTGAATCCTCCTACAGCGTTTTGTGCCACTAGCTAATATTTCCAAGTCTTATTTAGCACTGGGAATGGAGAACCGAAGTAAAAGCTAAAGAGGAGAAAATATGCATAAAAAAATAAAACTGTACATGTGTTAAATAAACAAAATCAGCATGCAGCAGGTCTGGAGCAGGGGTCCTCACATGAGACTGAGTGAAGCTATCATCTGACATACTGTTGCTGTGTTGTGGTGATGACAGGTACACATGCTAGCTCTAACGCCGCAGCCACACCCATGTGTTAATGAGCCAGAACGCTATGCTAATGGAGCACATGATCATTTCCCGCTTTGCTCGCTCCTTGCTCTCCTCTTCCAAGTGATGGAGTCTCCGGTTCAACTTGAGAAGCTATTAAAAAATACATTATTTAGTTCAAACGGTTATACAGTTAATTGTATATAAGAAAAAAAGGGACTTGTTAAGAACGACTGACCTGGCGTCTGAGAGTTGCTACATCCACTACTGTCAGGTCATCAGCTGTTCCTTCCAGAGCGGGTTCATAGGTTGATAATGCCAGCCTTAAAAAGAGAACAGATGGTCCATTAATGACGACAAGAGTTCAGCAGACAGCACACTTCACCAAAACTAAACCAAGGTTACGTCAACGTTACAGAGAATGTTCACATTTTGGCTCAAAATGTGCACACGTGGAAGAAAAGGAAGAGGACGGAGGAGGAGACAGATGAGCCAGGAGAAGTTACCTGGATTCAGGCATGGGGTTGGAGCTCAGAGGAGAGCCCCCTCGCAGTGAAGGTTTGCTGAAGAGGTGGGGGAAACACAGAGTTTGGAAAAGGCAAAAGGAGATCTAGAGAAACACACAAATAACCTGCATGCTCTTTTCACACCAACAGTTTCTGAGCTACTCTAGGAACCACCGGGTCGACGCTTCAAGTTCGACTAGCTAACACAGAAATTACTCAGCAGCATCTTTTACTCTGTGCTTAAAAATGTCACAATTCTTTTAAAAAGAAAACGGAGCGGGACAACCGAGATGTTTAGGAGAGAAATGAGAGAAAGAATTTGTTGAGTGATGAAAGTGTGTTAAACACAATCTGTTCATGCTAGCTGTTTTCAGCTACTAGCTGTTGGCACCAAACATGCAACAAGTGTTTTAGTGTAGGGACTGCAGATGTAAATTAGCATTATTTTAATAATCCAGCGTATTTTTGTCTATAAATATTTAAAACTAAGTTAACTAATGTTCACCGCCCATATCATTTAAAGACCAAGTTCACTCATTTTTCCCAACACGTTTGCAGTGGCCTCTAGTATAAATGTGAGTCAAACTCTGTAGTGTTGAATAGCTCTGGCGCTCTTGTTTCAGGAGATAGAAGTGAGCCGGAGAAGAGGTGAGGAGAATGCAGCAGGATTCAGAGTCTTATTTCCTGAAATTTGGATAGCTCGCCTCTGATTGGCTAACAGCAATGTGACTCTACCACTGACTGACTGTTTTGCAACGTTGATATTTTATCTCCACAATTAACACAACCCTGGTGGAGTTCTGCTGTGTTGTGGAGTTGCTAATGCTAACAGTTAGCTTCTGCTCTCCTCGATGCTAAAACAACAACAGCCCCCCCCCCCACCCCACCCCCACCCCCGTTGTGAGCCAAGATGCATGCATATAAAATTACAGCGTCACATAGATCTGACAGGCTAATCCGACCGTTTCCGTCCATTTTTGTGTACCAGCAGCTAATGAAGGAACAAAGGGTAGAAGACTATTTTCAGTTTTAGCCTGCACATGAAACTCAGTAACAGATCAGGTTTAAAAATAACAAGTAAAAAGGTTTTCAGTGAATTCGGTCTTTAAATTAATGAATGAGTGAACACATTTATTGTTCCCCTCAAGGGATTCCAGACAGATTTCTCTAAATGTAACAATTACTTTCTCTTGACGTGAAAACGAAAGATAATTTTAATAAGTCCAACAAGTTAGTTCACCGTCAAGGACTAAAAACAGCAGCTGAAGGCGTTCAATCACGTTCATGGCTGAACTACATTATGATGAAAAAGTTGGACCTGAGGCATCAAAATTCAAAAACTAATTTCGTCTGATGTCGGAATAGCTGCATTTATTACTTATGGTTTTAATGCCATTAAGCCCAGCAGTAGCTAGAAACAGATGCTTTGTAGTACTAAACAGCAAAAATCTGTAAAAGTGTTCATGTTTGTCATCTGCTTCATAAAGTTTGCATTAGGCCTGCTTTCAAACATCTATTGACCAAATCAAAAAAATAAAATAAACAAATAAAAAACCAAGCACAATGTTTGGAGGTCACCTGCGTGGGTCCTCCTCATCCAACACCTCCAGGACCTGCTGGTAGGCCCGACGTGTTGTGGACTGGATGAAAGACAGAACACCGCTAGCGCTGTACAGGTTGTGCTCCTCAGCCACGGGGAGAGGGGGGCATGGTTGGACAGTGGCTGGGGGGTGGGAAGCTGAACTGCTCAGCGGCCACCATTAAAAGAAGCAAATTTGAAAGGGAAAAGATGGGGAGAAGAAAAGGAACAGGAAGAAAAATAAGGAAAGGATACTGCCCCCCTCCCAAAAACTAACAGAGCTGCTTTCAAATCTAATTAAATACCAACAACAGGAGCAAGAAAACATCCGGTTCTAACTACACTCCAGCTCTAAGATGATGAACAGAAATCAGTCACAGCAACGCTTTGAGCTGCTGAAAACATTCTAAACATGAAAATGTTTTTTCTCCTGCAATTTCACAGTTATTAATATATTAAAAAGCAAGTTTTATTCATGGTTAATAAAGCTCCACAACTAAAAAAAAATAAACAGCAGGATTCTGCATCAACAACCAGCAGCACAATGTGCCACAAAAATAAAATCATGAAGCCAAATGAAAGGTGACACTACATGGACACATCACAGGAGATTAGCCAGTCAGTGGTGATACCAGAACATCTGAACCAGTACTTACGCTGAGTCATTGTTGACCAGCTGATTGTTAAGACGAACAGCCGCATTCTCGCTGGCTGAACGTTCCCGCCGTAAACGCCCCTGTGGTCGCGTCTATGAGAACAAAATGATGTGAAGAGAGCTGATTTATTCTGCCTATAATGCACTGTAGGGACATTGTGTAGTGTTTCAGTGATGTTTAATTGCTTTGTCTCTCACCAGCTCTTCGCTGTCTGGAGCTGCCCTCTGTTCCTCCTCCATGAAGTCCAGGGGCCGCTCGTTCAGGGTGAGGACTCTGGGAGGGGTTTTTAGTGACAGGGTTTCCAGAGGTGTCGACTGGATAAGGTCCAAGTCTCTGGGGAACTTTGGCTTCACAGAATCTCCTTAAAAATAAAAAAAAGCTTAAAATGAGAAACATTTGCATTCTGTGTTAAACTTAGTTTGACAAGAAAATCTGCATTAACTTGTATTTACAAACTGAAGGAGCTAAATGTCTTTGCCTTGTTATGACAAGTCTATGTTGTTTCATTTTCACGTTTTAGAGGCTGACACATCAAGCCTGACTGTCAAGAGAAGAATGGACAAAGTCCTGTTCCACTATAAGAACGGTGGTGCAAACTCCCTAAATACCAGAACACATATCTGATTTTAACATTGTTTTCTTTAGTAACTTACTAACCAGAAATCACGATTCGGTCCGGCACTTGCATGATGACACTGGGGTGAACATCCTGTACTCCAACTCTGGGCTCCTCATGATGTTGTGGAGCCACTTTAAGCATCTGCGGAATGCGCATCTTCTGGCTGATCCCCTCGGTGTACTCCAGATCATACTGGATGCAGTTGATCTCTGCCATCTCTACTGTAGGGGAAGGGAATGCCGCTCCACTCATTTGGCACGTAGGAATGACTCTAAATACGTATTTTAGAAGAAAAACTTGGTAAATTTAATCGTTGGCTTAAAAAAGTCCCAGATGTGAAAATATTTCGTTTTCAGTTCTATTCATTGTGATAAAGTCTGTTTTCCAAAACAGGAAGGATTGCATGATTTGTTTTAGACATCAACATCCCCGTGACACCATCATATGATACAAAGAGTGTTTTTCAGAGACAATATTGATCACTAAACCAGCTTAATCTAGAGCTAGATTTAAGCTAATAACCCTAAATGTGTCCAAACAAGCTACAGCTATAGGCTTAGTGAGAAGCAAACATCCAACAATTACAGCGTAAATCTGAATAATATTTAGAGAATAACAATGAGAAATATACTTTAGCATTCTCGGCTTCTCAAGCTAAAGATTCAGCGCGATTCCATACCGTCTTGGTGGACGTTCAGCGCAGTTTTCCCCTTCAAAATATTAAATTTATGAGGTTCTCATCAGCGTGAAACTTTCTGAACGATATCTGTCGGGTAACAGTAAAAGTAAGTGATAGAAAAAGAACAGCTGTCAAACATATCCTGGTGTTTTTAAATGACAGAGGACCTCCTGTCGTCGATTCCCTGGTTTCTTTTACACAGGAAGTGTTAGCTACATCAACCGGAAGATACGTCAGAAAACAAAAGCATGTCCGGGAGAAAATGTAATCCGACACGGATGTGAAAGTTTTTAATTCTCTCTTTTAATCCCGTATTCAGCTAATTAATAAACAGCAGGGGTTATGATACTATTTAACAAATTTACAGGGAAAGTAATTAATCATAGAGGAGATAAAGATTTATTGTGCTTTCTATATATGGCTATAATAGCAAAATTAAAAACAGATGTTATGGATTTAGGGCAGAATGGTAACATATTGGCAAAATGTTCATATGACAGATAAAGTCAAGAGCATCTGGCTGCAGACATCAGCTGGCGTCTTTGCCGTGACAGGAAATGACGTATCCGGAAAAAAGTGTCATTACCTTCGCCGGAAGTCATTGCCTTTGCCGGAAGTAGTTTTTTTCGGAAGTCATTACCTTTGCCGGAAGTAGTTTTTTTTTCTTGAATACGCTTTATTGACAAAGCACAAAAGTAGTTTGAATTTGTCAAAACCATACGTGTCGTTTTTCTCTTCGATTTGTACATATTTAAGAGAAAAATTACACGGTGGGTCATTACCTTAACCAGAAGTCATTACTTTCACTGGAAGTAGTTTTTTAAAAAACAAAACTTACCGTAAAAAGCTTTTTATTTCGGATTTTTTTTTCTCTTCAGATCTGGACTGGCAAACTTAAGTAACGTTGTAACCTGCGTTGCATGAAAATTGAATATTAAATCCCTTTGTTCTTCAGACAGGGAATTTTTATGACAATAGCACATACATACATACATACACTTACATACATATATATATATATATATATATATATATATATATATATACACACACACACACATATGTATATATATACACACACACAATAAAAGGCTGTAAAGTGAATTAAAAAAACATATGGAAAAAATGAGAACACATTAAACTAAGACTTTTCAAAATGTGCAAACAAAATAGTACTGGCTAAATATTCAGTTTTATTGTTAAGCCCAAGATGAACTTTTGACCTACACCAATTGCTAAAGTACAGGACTCCCAGAAGCAGTGAAAAACATTTCAGCAACACTCCTCTCTCACCAGCAACAAAAATTAGTTATTAAATATCCATAACACTGTCCTATTGTGTATCACAGCAGCTCATTGCAACAGAATTTAACTACTACAGCTGATAACTATTTAGCTAGTTGGTATTTATTTTGAGTGAAAGACAATAAAACCAAAGAAACACTTAATTTCACAACCATTTTATTTTGGGTACAAATGAATTTGCTGAAGCATGGCTTTCTCAGATGTATATCGATTCATCCCCTCCCATTTTTCCAACACTTTTATTGTTACCTGAAAAACATGCAGGATTACTTCATCGTTGTCGTCTTCCTCTGCTTATCCGGGTCCGGGTCGCGGGGGCAGCATCCCAACTAGGGAGCTCCAGACCGTCCTCTCCCCGGCCACCTCCACCAGCTCCTCCGGCAGGACCCCAAGGCGTTCCCGGACCAGATTGGAGATGTAACCTCTCCAACGTGTCCTGGGTCGACCCGGGGGCCTCCTGCCGGCAGAACCTGCCCGAAACACCTCCCCGGGGAGGCGTCCAGGAGGCATCCTGACCAGATGCCCAAACCACCTCAACTAGCTCCTTTCGATCCAGAGACGCAGCGGTTCTACTCCGAGTCCCTCCCGGATGTCCGAGCTCCTCACCCTATCTCTAAGGCTGAGCCTGGCCACCCTACGGAGGAAACTCATTTTAGCCGCTTGTATCCGCGATCTCGTTCTTTCGGTCATTACCCAAAGCTCATGACCATAGATGAGGATTGGGACGTAGATCGACCGGTAAATCGAGAGCCTGGCTTTCTGGCTCAGCTCCCTCTTCACCACGACAGATCGGTTCAGCGTCCGCATCACTGCAGACGCCGAACCAATCCACCTGTCGATCTCCCGATCCCTCCTACCCTCACTCGTGAACAAGACCCTGAGATACTTAAACTTCTCCACTTGAGGTAGGACCTCTCCCCCGACCCGGAGTTGGCAAGCCCCCCTTTTCCGGTCGAGAACCATGGATTTGGAGGTGCTGATCCTCATCCCAGCCGCTTCACACTCGGCCGCGAACCTACCCAGCAAGAGCTGAAGGTCAGAGCTGGGTGAAGCTAGGAGGACCACATCATCCGCAAAAAGCAGAGACGAGATTCTCCTGCCACCAAACTCTGTTAAGGATTACTTCATACACTGTCAAATGTTTTCGAAAAGTAACTTTTATACCAATCACTGCTGAAGACTGCGTTGTACCTCTGGAACAAGGACATCAAACACCAAGTCCAGAAACTGGAACTCTCCCTTCTTCATTAGTTTATCTATTCCTGAGCATGAACCAATCCGCTCTGTCAGCTCGTCAACCTATAAAACACGTTAACATAAAAATGAACAAAACATTCCTCTCAGCATTAGACAACGGACCCAGGTGGCCCACTGACCATGCATCCACATAAATAAATGTGATGCAGCTTATTGTAAGTCAGTATACATTTACCTGTGCATCAGCAAAGTGGAACATCAGTGGCTTTAGTCTTTGCTTTAATTTAAGCGAGACACCTGGATTGTGCCACAGATACATGAGGCCAGACTTCACTCTACCACTGCAGAGATCCTTATACACAGTCTGAGTAGAGACAAGAGTTAAAAATAAGCAACATTACCACAGAAAACAAGGGATTGCATTATCCTATGTCCAATTTTAGAGTCTTAATTTATTATAATTAAACATTACCTTGATTTCACCATCTGAAATCACTGCCTGGGTTCCATTTTTCAAAGCCTCGATTGTCCTGGAATTTAGATAAAAATACATCTTATTAGCAAATGAAGAATACAAGCACATGTAAGGAGTTTTGTCAGTGTCACTTGAAGAAGTCCGATATTCATTTTAGATCTATATTTAAGGCCTCCAACTCCTGAATGATTTGCAGCTACATGTGCTTAAATCCGGTAATATTAATTAAACCAAACCCGATCAAAGCAGTCAGTCGACAAAAATATCTATTTTTTATAAGGTTAGGATTATTCTGAAACAGAATCAGAAGGAGGGCGGCATTAATTAGAGAAGCGGCTACTATTTCAAAGTTATTGTACCTGTTGCAGGACACCTGATTTGTGCAACCACAGTAGAATGACCCAGCACACCACACACAAGTCAATAACTGAAAAATATTTAGAGATATTGAAAGCTAAGCTTGTCCAGAAAATACATTTTATTTCTGGGTGCACAGGACCAGTTCCAGTGTGGGCCAAATGCTGAAAAATAAATTCATAAATCTGTCTTTTTTGAAGTTTCACAAATCAGAGGAAGGTTTCACAAATCACAAACTATGTTTTATGCATTCCTACGAGCCCAGAATAATCTAAAACAGGTTTGAAGAGTGTATGTGTTGTAGGTTTTGAGCTAGAGCAGAATAAAAATGGTCAGAGTAGAGAAAAATTGGGTGTATTAGCCCTTTAGCCATTTCCCGAATCGGAAGCTAACTTTAGCATCTACGCTTTTTAATTAAAAAAGGGTATTAATAACGTTTCAGTTAAGTCAGTATTAGAAATCGTGGTCTTTACATCATGTCTAAATTATATATAAAGTTAATATTATTACTTTAACTGTTTTAACAAACAGGGAGACCAGAAAAATCAAATAGCTAAGTTAAAGCTAAGCTACAATTGCTGATAGCTTTATTTATGTAGCTTTTGTGTTAGCTAGCTTGTGATCTCCCTGCATTCGTTTTAAGACTGCGTGTTAATATTGAAACAATTAGCTATGAAACACGGTGCCTTTGCAGTAATTCTCTGGTAAAGCTTTAAACGCTACAGTGCCTACATTTAAGAACTAAGAAAGGTTGCAACAATTAGTTAATTTCATCCTTATCTTTCTTTCTTTATCTATCATCCTTATCCTTACCTTTCCTCAATTGAAACCCGCCGAGTATGGTTGAAACAAAAACAACGTAGCGGCCGCCAAAAAAAGACCAACTTCCTGCCGAGGTCTTTCGCTCGTCGATTTTCCGGTAAAAGTAATGACACGCCATCTTGCTCTCGACACACCAGCTGATGTCTGCAGCCAGGTCCTACTCGATAAAGTTGTTATGGGACTGTTAGGGACTAGCTTGGAAGATGGTGGAGCGGGTAGCCGAGAAGTAGCGTGCTCTGAGTAGCTAACCCTGAATTTATAGCAGATGTAGCTCTATGTAACTCACAAAAGTACCTAATACCTATTTCCTAAGCAATAATTACTCTCAAACGCGCCTTTGACCGTCATTGGAACACTTTGGAAGTTACTCCGGTTGCATGCTGAACAATGGCTAACAGCAAAGCTAACGGTAAAGCTATCAAAGCCTTGCAACCCCACGACTATGCGTGCCAAGAGGCTATGGAGACCAATTTGAGGGGGACCAAGAATCTCTTAACTTCACCAGGTAAAGCTGCACTGCCCTTAAAAAAACAAAGAGGACATGAAGAGGCTGCTATCAGCGCTGAAGCAAGTGCCATTTTGGCTGCAGTTGAAAGTCTCAAAAATTCAATTGAAGAACTCCGAGGCGATTTAAAACAAAACACTCTCACCATTGCCAGCATTGTGAAAGCGGTTGACTTCAACAGCGGTGAAATAAAAGATCTCAAAGAAAAGAACAAAGGAATGACTGAAGAGATTAAATTGTTAAAGGCTACAAATCTAGATCTGACAGCCAAATTGCTCCGCGTTGAAAAAATGACGGAAGACCAAGAGTCTTACAAGCGACGATGGAATCTGCGACTCAACGATCTTAAAGAAGAAAGGGATGAAGACACGCGAAAAAAGGTAGCTGGCGTTTTAATAAAGATTCTGCCACACTGGGCTGAAAAGGTGGAACTGATCCTGGACACCGTCCACCGCCTCGGTACCCCCCTCAACGGCCGTCCCCGACAGATCATCCTACAATTCTCGCTGAGAACCTACAAGGAGGAACTCTGGCGTGCCACCAAGGGCCACCCAATCTGCAGGGAGCTGAACTTCAAATTTGCT